GTTAATGTAACCCCCTTTGGTGACTCCGCAGCGCCGAGAGAAGGATTGGCTACTGTCCCTGACCTTTGGTGACTCCGCAGCGTCATTATGGGGCCCAGATAGCTCAACCACGCTAGGGCAATCTCCCTAGTTCCCTCTAGGTTACATTAACCTATCGGCCCGTTGGTGACTCCGCAGCGACCGGGTTTTCTCAAAACTTTTTTTCATCAAAACTTGTTTCCCCCAAAAGTTCCCCTTTTGTATCAAACAATTTCTTTCCCATTTTGCTACCCAATCACATGCATGATCATCATATGCTTTCATGATGCCATGATACATGAAAGATTCATACAATACACAATTTAACATGCTCCCATTCAACAATTTACAAAGAAATTACTAGCACCATAAGCATAATGGAAGCTACACATAGACATGCTTTCCATATAACAAATTCTACCAAGATATAAACACTGAAACATGTAAAATCAACATCTAAGCATGTTTGTCTCACAAAACCACATATACACATAAACATGAATCTCATTTACAAAACCAAATCATTATTAGAGGTAATCAACTCAATTAAGCATGTTAAGCATCAATTAACAAGGATTAATTCACTAGGGGGCAAAAACTCATGGATTAGAAACCCCTACCTCTTAGAATTGCGAAAACCCTCAAAATGGGTCCAAATTTCGAAGTCTCTAGGGAGCACCAAAACTGAAATTGCTTGTACCCACGTGTAGAGTTCGTCGTGCTCTCCGTTTTGCCTCAAACGGCACTTAAATCTACCATGTAATGAGAGAGAAATCAAGATCCAAAGTTTGGCTTCCAAAAGAAAAGAAAAATAAAGGGAAATGAGGGAGAGAGAGGAAGAAACGGGGAGAGAGAAAAATGAGAGAGAAGGAGTGGTCTCTAAACCACTAATGCATTAGTGGTGGGTCCCTCCACTTCAAATTTTGATTTTCCATTATTCTTTTGTCACAAAATTCTACACCACATAACATGTACAATGCACCACATGCACATACCACTTAGTCCACATGAATTTAAATGTACCAATTGCAATTGGACCCAACCACAATCCCGTATGCAAAACGTGAAATGACAGAAATATCTTTGCGGCAACAAAATTTTCAGAAAATTAAAAAAATGGAAAAAAAAATCGGAAACGTCACATAAGTGCTATAGACTACTTGTTGGAAAGTAGGAAAAGTAAGTGCTGGACTTAAATTAAACATAATTAAAATACATTACTGGAATGTAAAGATACATGAAATGTAATTGATAAGCAACGATGCTGAATTGTTGTGTGTGTTGAACAGGGTTTGTATTCTAGGCCTAAGTGCTCTATTTATAGAGTTTCTTTGCAGCAGTTGGCAATGTGGCAATTTCAACAGCTTCTGAGCCCTCTAAGTGGAATGTTCGGATTGTGCCACGTGTCCCATGTCTTCCCCAGATTTTTCATAGTGCTGACATGTGTAAAATCATATGTTTCCATGATCTGTAACTTTTGAGAGGTGGTTTTAGTGGTTGAATGCTTATACCCACGTTTTGGAACTGCCCAGATGGAAAGACAACTGTTTCCAGCAGCAATTGGAAACTTCCACCTGGCTTGTCCGGGCTGCCAAGTGTCCCATGTTTTTATTGTTCTTCTTCTTGGTGTGTGGTCACCTCCTTTACTTCATACACATAACTCCACTACTTTAACCATATTATCCATTATCTTCGGCCATTTCAGTGGTAGTAACAATTTGAAAAACCACCATTTTCAACTGATGATGTATTTGAGTTTGGCCAGGTATCCCGCGTTTCTAATAGTCTTTTCCTTCCACAGAGACCTTTTTCCTATATAATTCTATACATATCATGCATGTATATAGCTGTCATTTATATACCCATGCTCTCCTTAGCTTTGGTAACTTTCTTTAGTTGGACTTTCCTTTGTGGTTTTGCTTTCAGGGCGTCATGTGCTCCATAATTTTCGCAACTTCCTCCTTATGGGTTGTATCTTTGGTGTGTGTATATATATATATACACACACACATACACTAGCCATTTTTGCAGATGATCACCCACATCCCTTTTCTTTTGCAACTCTGTATTTGACTTAGCATAGATAATGGCTGCATATTTGTCGGCATTCTCCTAAAAAGTTGGAAAAGATTTAGCACCACGTTCACCCTTCTTTGCTTGGTCAACTTAGTCTTGCTATATTGGGGATTTTGAAAACACACGCTTTTGTTCAATAACCCTTTATAACAACAACTTTTAAAAGAGTTGATATACCAAGTAAGCTCCATGGAACTCGCCATGTGTCACTTTTATATTGGTTTACCAACACCATTATAGCATAGACTCCATGTGTTGAAAACGGATTGGTTGGATGAGTCTTGTCTTGAATAATTGCATAAGGTTGCATGTATAGTAGTATTTCCATGCACTTCTTATTTTCCATCATTAGGAAATCGGGCCGTTGATCTAAAATGGTAAGTCTTTATAAGAATCGCCATTTTCTTACCTTTAAAGATCCTACGTGGTGAAATATAATTGGCCTATTGATCCTTGCTTTAGATTGCTACGTGAAGTCACATTTGTGCTTTCAGCGTGGCAAGTTCCATTGGAACTCGCCACATGCTTCCTTCTCATTGGTAAATAGTCCTCGTGGCATAAAATCAATCTTCAATAATGCCACAATATAACTTCCTCTTTTGAATATTTAAGCAATATTCTAGTGTGGCAAGCCCACTGGAACTTGTCACATGTAATCTTTCCATTTGCCTAAAAATAATTGGATAAACAGGTCCATTGTCTCATATTGAAAATAATGTACAATTTTGTACTGTCATAGTTAGATGTAGAACAGTGTTGTCAAAGGGGTGCGCCTAGGCTCATACAAGCACAACACTTGAGCCTGTTTGGTGACTAGGTACGCCTTTGACAACATTTGCTCCTTTAATATGGAATACAAATATGCTTTAATAGTAATTTAATTTTTCAATTGTGCGCCTTGCTTCATTCAGGTGCGTGTCACCTTGCGCCTAGGCTCTAAAGGACCTCTAGTGCCGGCCTTTGGACTTTGATAACACTAATGTAGAATCACTTAGATAAAGATGAAATGCAAGATTGCCCGAAATCCTGAAATCAGCAAGTTTGAAGTAAAATTGATCCTTTTTAGATGCTTAAAAACATGATGTACTCATTTTTAACCTATGTAGAACACTTTGGGCTTGTTCCAATTTCAGGTTGGCAAATATTCTTACAGCTAGTTTCCTTTCTCTCGTGTTACTTCTTGATGGTAATATAAATCTATATATTTTTTCATACTTTCTCTAGCACCCTATGACTTTATTTATGAAGAATTTGCGACAACAGAGGAGGTGGTGTCAATTTGGATAGTTTAGCATCTGAGAGAAGTATAAGAAGCCCAAAAGCGCAATGGATTATAAATGTTGTTTCTGTGGTTTTGGATGATTATTTTTCCTCTTCATTGCATACTTCTTATTTGAATTTGTGATGGTGTTAACTTAGCTCTGATGAATTTAAGATATTCTCTTGAGTCATAGGATCATGTATTGTCTGCTCTTGAGAGGCCGAATGAAAGGTTGTTTTTCTGTCCTCAGAAAGTATAACATGAAACAGAGGCCTCTGAAATTGTAATCTCAGTGGTGAATGAATACCTACCTGTATTTGTTTTCTGAAAACATTTCTATTTTCCTATTATCATTATTATTATTATTATTATTATGTTTATTGGTTATTGTGTTGGAGAACTAGGAGTTCTACTAGATGAGAATTTATTTTGAAATTTATAGCCGAAAGGAAGCTATACATTTTTTCAAGATCCCTTGTACTAATTAATGCATCTGCTGACATATTTTGCTTTACAGGAGAGGAAAAGCCAATATGCTTTACAACAACTACATGTATCATTTAAATGTGTCACACCACCTGCACATTGATCTTTTTTAACCCAGCTGTGACCGTCAATTTGGACGATTCTAAGTGCTTACCTTGCATTCCACTTATCATGGTACCATCAGAGAAGATTTAATTGAGGTTTGAAAGTGCAAGTTGTTGCATAAAAGAAATTTGCATTGCCAAAAAGATGAAGATGACATCAAGTTTGAAATGGATTCTCTCCTGTTTCTCACCGTGCAGTATCCATCTTGTGCACTATTAAATCAATAGTGCAACACACTACACGGTCACAGGCCACATCACATATATATGCAATACTCATGCAACATGTTAGATTGTGTTACAATACTCGAAAATTATTAAATTGAGAATTCAATACATTTATGCAGTTGTTGATTTAAAGTTGCTAGGTTGTCGTTTTAAACTCACAGGACGACACTGAACGAAAAGATGAACAAGAGAGGATCATGATCCCTAATTTATGAACCATCACACTAGCTACATGGTGTACGAGTTTGTATATTATAGTGTGTTGGGTGAATGATCATAGATGCGCAAGTCAATGCTCATTGTCAGATTAGGGATGACCACGGATAGGATTAGGCATCAATCCTAATCCAATCCGGTCTCAACAGATTAGAAAAATATAAATCGGCCACCGATGTGTGGGATAATAGATCGGATCGGATCCGTAGAATAACAGGTCGATCGGATTAGCCAATTGAGATTTTCTTAAATAGTCCAATATTATTTTTTAACAATCCAATTTGATCTGCATGGATAAGATCAAATCGGACCAGACTTACATATTGACGGATCAAATGCCCACCCCATGTCTGATGACTCACAATTCAATGTCATATCGTAGTGGCACACCATATTCACATACAGAAAGGTCAAGACATATATCCAACCAGCTGTGTGAAGAATTGGATTCCTTCCTTCAAATCTACTTCATCTTTTTTTTCCCATGAAAGAGCATCTCTTAAATGGGCAAAGAATCACACTATTACATTTAGCATAGAATAAAGAAAAAAGACAAAAAAACTGAAAGAATGAAAAGATGGGGTATATATTCACTAGGTGCATATCAGCATAAAAACAAAGGATTATAAAACTGAAATTCCACAGCTAGCCCAAAGAAAGCATTACTTCTTCCTATAACTGAAATTCCAGAAATCATCAGGAAGAAGAAGAAGAAGAAGCAGCCATGAGCAACCGCACCAACAACGCGCCAACACCTGGGAATTGGCGGTATGGACAAAGTTATGGTTCCCATGCTCCTAACAGTAATGACTGGAACCTCACGGTGTTCCCCCGATCACTTTCCTATGGAGCAACTCGGGTTAGTATCTTTTTGCACATATAATTTGAAACCATAAAAGAATTAAGCTGAATTATTACAAATTTTGCTGAACAAGATTGACTTAATTTTCGCCTATGCGATAATTAGATATTGATTTCAGTTGTCTTGGTGTGTTTTCTAGAATGCCAGTGGAGGTGCACAGGAACCATGGTGGACACATGAGGAAAGAGTGATCACAGGACCTCCTTTTGGCTTAGCCAGGTAATTACTGCTTATTTCCAAACCTGTTTGAAGAGTGTTTAATCTATATCTTACTCAAAATCTTCTATATTTGCAATTTTCAACTGACAGTTTCAAAGTAACTTAGCCAAGTTAGATGTGTCGGATAATTTCATCTATTATACAATTTTTGTTTTTGACAATATTATTATAGATATGGTTTATTTATTTAAAAATATTGCAAATTTTCAGTTCCGTTGTAGAAGTCACAGATTAACTCGAGACAAGTCAAAGATATAACAACAATTTCATCCATCAAACTTTTTTGTGTGGGGGTGTGGAGGGAGGGAGTTACTGTACTCTAATTTTACAGTTTCAAGAATTTAAACAAATATATATATATTGTCAATTTCCCGACCTTCAACTATTCTTCCCAAGAAAAATGACCAATCTTATTTATTGATAATATTATTATAGATATGGTTTATTTATTAAGTTTTTGATATATAATTGTATGCTCTTGTACAAATTAATGTTTAGAGCAAAAAACTCACAACGTTGTAGGACAAGTAGTGTTTAAATAGTAACCAAAATAAAGAAAGGGGATGAGAATGAGAATATTAGATGAGGCTAGACAATGGAGGTGAGAGGACAGACGAATGGAATGAGAATCAGATTGAAGATTGAAGGAGGTAGGATGGATAAATTAAGGGATTGAGAAAAGCAAGAACACGAGGGAGAGAAGACACAAAGGGAGAGTTCGCAAGCTCAACGATAATATTCAATATTCCAAAACTTAATTATTTGTTCACAAAGAAGCCTTTATATAGGCAAAGCATAATCAAACCCTAAAATATTAAAACACTAAAATATCCCTAAAAATAGAACATTGTCAAAAATAACAAAAAACAATTAAAATAAAACCTAATTACATAATCCCTAATTTCATCCATCTTTGCCCCTTCTCCAAAAGTAGAGCTTGAACATGTGCGACTCATCATCCTTGAAAATCATCATAGCCCGTTCCCCATCAGACACCCTCCTGTGCTATTTACAAGCTCTCCCTTAACTCGTCGGAGTTGTTCATGTACATGGAACTTATAAAGAAGTTGATTTCCAAATGCAACACAATATTGGCACAAACACTGTTAAAAGTTTGAACACTATCACTCCCATGACCAAAACTAGAGTCCTACAGTTTAAAGAGTACATGCAGTCAAACACAATTAGTTTCTGAAGTCTACATCTACAAGTGGTGCCAACATGTGATGTGAATCCTTGCATGTTTACCTCCTGGTATTTGTGCCACAAGGTGCATAATACTGAGGAAAAATCATTGATAGCAGGGTCATGGGTGGAACACTAGAGTAAAAGAGGTCTAACTGATCTCGGCTTTTCAAAATATAAATTTTCCAACAATGCTTTAGATTACAAATGTGATTATGCAAAAGTTTCCTGCACCTGCAACCTTTAATTCCTAAGAACAACCCCTTCCTCAACCTCTGATAATTTCTTCTAAACGCGGTCTCATTTCATGCTTCCAAGAAATGCTACCATATACTATATATGCATATAGTTTAAAGGGACCTTGTTTCAAATTATTAACTAAAAAATAAAAAGCCGTGAAATGCAATTAGCTAGTAACAGAATTGACTATTTGGCAGGCATTTAGAACCCAAATGGAAATGAATCATCTCATTTTGCCTTACATATGTCCACTTTCATGGCTTTTTACATTTCTAATTTTCTACTGACACATTATATAGAAAACTTTTTCCATCTCTGTCTGATTAATTTGCTACCATCAAACATGGATCAATTTGCAGTTTTCCAGCTCCATCTCATTCTCCTATACGACTTCTAGTCCTCGACAATGATTTGCCAAGAGAGATGAACCCTAGGCTCGGACAGTTCCTCCAGGAGTCCCATCCAAGGTTCGCGGGACAAAGGACTACGCAAGTCCCTGCACAAGATGAGGAGTCCAGATTGACTAAAGATCAGCAATACGCGGCCTTGAAAAACATGAAGACAGAAATTTACAATCCCATGCCAAAAAGCTTAGCAAAGAGACACAGCTTTTATTACAGAGACCGTGCCAGAAACAGTTTCAATGACAAGGGAAAAGAGCAAGACGATGATGGCAAAGCTTGTGCCGTTTGCTTGGAAGATTTAGAGTCTCAACAGATGGTTATGACCACACCCTGTGGTCATATGTTCCATGAGGACTGCATTGTGCCATGGATAAAGAGCCATGGTCAGTGCCCAGTTTGTCGGTTTGCACTCTGCGAGCAAGTTAGACAAAGTGCAGCGCCGCGAGTCAACAATAATGTGATGCCACGCAGTGATTCAATTTCAGGAGATCTCATTTCTATTATAAGAGCCATGGAGGATGCTTTTGAATGGAGGAATATGACCCGCTGATGCGGTAGCAAGCAGAGGACGACAGAATGTGCTTACTACTAGCGGCAGTGTGGTCTTTGAAATGTCAACCTATTATCACACAATGCTTAAGAACATAAATCAACAAAGAAAATGAACTAATAACTCAAAACTCAGATCGATAAAGCAAAGCTCATATATCTTTTATTCGAGGTCTTGACCTCTATTTATAAGAAATTCTAAATGATTGAGTTCTTCTAAGATTCGCATTGCAATCTCAATTATAGCATACTACTATTCGTAGTTTAGGCTTGAAATCACACTATTCGGGCGTTCTTAACGAGTCCAGTCTATCGTGCTTGGTTAACCCGGCCCTTTCTTCGTGTCAATGCTCAAGTTGGAAGTTAAATATTCTTCATATTTTTTGGTGGTCTCCTCTTGTGCTGATGTGTCAACCTTCTATTGGTGGGGAATTATTTTCCCTCCACAACATTCCATCTCTTATTTGTAGCCAATGATCATGGAAACTTTGTATCTTCTCAACAGAATCCTTCTGAACTAAAAGTTAACCTGAGAAAGAGATTTAAGACATGAGAAAGAAAGCACATAAACCAGAGAATATGAGATGGCTTAGAGAAATGAAATGATAAATGGTAGAAAGTGGTTTACGTAGCCCAGGACAACATTAGTTACGAGAGAAAAGAAAAGAAGAGAAATAATGACAATAATCTCTGTTTATGTTTGGATAAATTATGGAGGAAAAAAAAGAAAATGATAATATCCTTGTTTGGAAAAAGTATTGGAGAGAAAAAAAATGAATGAATAATAACCAAATTATTATCGTACTCTTTTATGAGATGGGACTCAAGTGATATGACAAGTTTTTTCTTTCAATTATTGAGTGTAGTTTCGAAATTATGAAAGTATTACTTAACTGATCTCATTTCTCTCCTAATTATTTCTTCTCTCCATTTAAGACAACTCATACACACTTGATACTATCTTTGTTTTCTTAGGAGCTATTAACTGCAATAAGGCTTTCTTATAATCTCAACTTTTCAATATAAAACAAGTTAAAGTGGCTGTACAATGAAACTTTTTATGAATGGAGCATTTATATGGTCAAAAACTGAATCACAATTTTACAAGAAAACAAAACACATGCACATACTTTTCAGGTTTCAAATTCTTCAAATCATAACCCATGTTCATATTTGTTCTGAATCACAATTTTACAAGAAAACAAAATACATGCACATACTTTTCACGTTTCAAATTCCTTAAATCATAATCCATGTTCATATTTGTTTGCTGTATCTTATTTGATTTTGATTTATTTGGATTGATCTGAACCACGTGGTCGAACATTATTTAATAATTAACAATTAATCCCCCAACAAATGGCTTCTTTAGCAATGCTCTTTAAATAAACAATAATAACAACATAATAGGAGTTCTAAACTTCATTGCGTAGCTATTTCAGTTTTGCATTTGGACTAAAGGCTTGAGAGCAAAAGTATTTTTTCAAATAAAAATATATGAAACAATTTTTTATTTTTAAATTTTTTTTATCACTTGACATGTCACATTCCAATCACATGTGCAATTTGCTCAGGTCTGGTATTTGAGAGATAACATCTTGAACATGATTATTTTTAAAATCGAGAAGTCTAAACACGACGTAGATGGAGTGTTGTAAGCATCACAAATTTTCTTCGTGTCTTGTTCGGAATCTCCGAATCAGAAAATAATTTATGAATTTTTTTTGTACTTGACTATAATTTATATTTAAAACCAATATTGGAGTTGCTGTTGTTCACTATTAGGGTTATTATAATCTCTCATTTTTAAAGAGAATGTTGAGTATTTCAAGAAGGAAAAAGCCATACTTCACAAATTTTAATTTGCAATTTTATCTTGAATTGTGGGATTACTTATTTGTCAACTCATTTGACTACTTTGTGTATTTTAAAAGCAATTATCAACTGCATTACGATTTTTTGAACTTTTCAAAAATAATAATAATAATAATAATAATAATAAAAATAAAAAACAATGAAAGGCACATGGAAGTCCAAACTCCAAAGTCCATACCCTTTAAGAAAAATAAGTGGTGCAGCAGTCGATACGCGCCCACCAGACTCTCTCATATTTGGGTTCGGACTTTTGGTGCGCAAACCATTTCCCATTGTCAAAATATCTAGAAGTAGTAGAAGATAGACACGGCAGTTGTTTGTACACCGCATACTCCCTCTCTCTCTGTCTCTCTCTCTATATATATATCCCCTCTCCGCTTGAGCGCAGTATTCTCTGCGCAACACCGCACCATCTCAACACCTCATCGTTTATTATACTTGGGACTCATCTGAGTCAAGTTAGTAAGCACTTCTTCCTCATTTCTATTTCTTCTTTTCCTCAAATCGATCAATTGTTGTCTATAATTGTTAAGAAGGTCCAAATTTGATGCTTTCGTTTATTGCTTTATAGATTAGTTGAGGTTGGTTATTGAACAATTGTGGTTTAGTTGTGTGGTGTGACCATAACTATGATTCATTGAAAGAGGGTGTGAACTGAAGTGTGCTTGTTTTGACATCAGTTCAATTGCAGACTAGTTTATCTGCTAAGTTTTGTGGGTCTCAAATTTCTTAATTAAGAAACTGTCAATTATTAAGGGAAAATATATAATTCATGGGTTTTATTTTTTATTACCCATTTATTTATATTTGGACCTACTGCAGTTTATTTCTATGATTGTTTTGAAAAAATTCAAAGAAAAATCATACGGAGTTTGTGGGTTTTTTTTTTTTTTTTTTTTTTTTTTTTTTTTTTTTAATATAGTTTAAGTAATTGTATTATTTTGCAATAAGAATTATTCCAGAATCTTGTGAATTAAGATACGCAATTTATCAGAAGAAAGATAGGAGAACTATAGATAGGACAAATAGGTTTAGTTCATGCTTCATAAGTTGGGTGCTTCTTGCTTATGAAGCATAACTTGTAGAATTGCTTTATTCCGGTGCTTTCATGCTATTTTTACAATGTTTGGATTGAAATTCGGTTATACTCTATTGTGTGTCTTCTTCATCCTAAATTTTGGCAGTAAATGTTGCTCTCTTTGCTTACCAAGCTCTCAGTATAGGATGGAGGCATTGTTTAAAGTAGTACTCTTTCCTAACAAGTTTTGGCAATGGGTTTCTCTATCTCTTATAGAACTGCAAAGGATTTTCTGTGTCAATGATGGTGAACTAACTATGTGTCTTGTTTTTGTGCGGTGCCTGTTTATGTGGTCCTCTCTTTTTCATTTTATTCATTGAAATATTACCTTATTTATATGAGATAGATGAAGCAGTTGATCTTCTTTTCGTCTTTTTTATTTTTTGAACTGGAATTTTTGAATGATTTTTAGTTCTGTGCTCACAATTTTTAATTTATCTCAAACATTGTATCAGAAGGTTGTTTTAAATGATGTACTTTCACCAAGGTTATTCTGACTAAGCCAAAACCCAATAGAATATTATATTCACTGATATTCTTTGCCAAGCTGATGAAACATATCCAATACAAAATCAAATTCACCGCAGAGTGAATAAATCCAAAAGAATGACAGAAAAGAAAGTAGGAAAAAGTCAAATATGTTACTTTGGACCCTATAATGGATTATGCTCCTTCCTAACATCATATTCGCTATGTTGTTTTTGCTGATTCACAATTATCCTTTATGATAGTTTTTTTTAGTTGAATTGATTTCGAATGACTATTCTATGCATTAACTTTGTTTTTATATTATCTATATATGTCTTCCGTTGTTAAACTAATATTCAAATAATTTTTTATGTCCAGCATTCGGTTCTGGGTCATTATACTGTAGTAATGACCCAGAACCGAATAAATCAAATCAAATTCACCGCAGAGTGAATAAATCCAAAAGAATGAAAGAAAAGAAAGTAGGAAAAAGTCAATTATGTTACTTTGGACCCTATAATGGATTATGCTCCTTCCTAACATCATATTCTCTATGTTGTTTTTGCTGATTCACAATTATCCTTTATGATAGTTTTTTTTAGTTGAATTGATTTCGAATGACTATTCTATGCATTTACTTTGTTTTTATATTATCTATATATGTCTTCCGTTGTTAAACTAATATTCAAATAATTTTTTCTGTCCAGCATTCGGTTCTGGGTCATTATACTGTAGATGGCCGCATCATCAGTATGCCTAGTGGGAAATGGTTTGTCTAAATGTAGCACTAAACCAAGTTTAAGTGAGGAGTTCTATGGCAGGCATCTATTTCCTTCCTCAAGCCTTCCATTATTGGGCAAGGCATCAAAACCAGTTCTCATAAAAGCATCTCTAGACCAAAGGCAGCATGAGGGAAGACGAGGCCTTCTAAAGTTGTTGCTTGGTAATGTGGGACTTGGTGTATCTGGATTACTTGGTAGTGGGAAAGCCTATGCTGATGAACAAGGTGTTTCTTCCTCCAGAATGTCTTATTCTAGGTTTTTGGAGTATTTGGACAAGGACAGGGTGACAAGAGTAGATTTATTTGAGAATGGAACCATAGCTATTGTTGAGGCTGTTTCTCCAGAGTTGGGTAATCGGGTGCAGCGAGTTCGGGTACAACTCCCTGGACTCAGTCAGGAGCTCCTTCAGAAGTTCAGGGAAAAGAACATCGACTTTGCTGCACACAATGCTCAAGAAGACTCAGGTTCTCTATTATTCAACTTGATTGGAAATCTGGCTTTCCCACTGATCTTAATAGGGGGTCTGTTCCTTCTATCAAGGCGCTCCTCTGGAGGAATGGGAGGTCCCGGTGGACCTGGATTCCCCCTTTCTTTTGGTCAGTCTAAAGCCAAGTTTCAGATGGAACCCAACACTGGGGTGACTTTTGATGATGTTGCTGGAGTAGATGAAGCAAAGCAGGATTTCATGGAGGTGGTGGAGTTTCTGAAGAAGCCTGAGAGGTTTACTGCTATTGGGGCTCGTATTCCTAAAGGGGTTCTTCTTGTTGGTCCTCCAGGAACTGGAAAGACCCTACTAGCCAAGGCAATTGCTGGTGAAGCTGGTGTTCCATTTTTCTCCATCTCAGGTTCGGAGTTTGTTGAGATGTTTGTTGGTGTTGGTGCCTCTCGAGTTCGTGATCTTTTCAAGAAAGCCAAGGAGAATGCTCCCTGTATTGTATTTGTTGATGAAATCGATGCTGTTGGGCGGCAAAGAGGAACTGGAATTGGAGGAGGGAATGATGAAAGGGAACAGACCCTCAATCAGCTTTTGACAGAAATGGATGGTTTCGAGGGAAATACTGGTATTATAGTAGTTGCAGCGACCAATCGGGCAGACATACTTGACTCTGCCTTGTTGAGACCAGGGCGATTTGACAGACAGGTAAGAAAGTATAACTCTTATGTTTTTTTTTTTTTTTTTTTGTGCATTCTTAAATATCTTAGAAATACTTAATTTGAAGCTCTGCTGCAGGTAATGGTTGATGTTCCAGATATACGGGGAAGAACAGAGATCTTAAAAGTTCACGGCAGCAACAAAAAGTTTGATGCGGATGTCTCTCTTGATGTGGTAGCCATGAGAACACCTGGTTTTAGCGGAGCAGATCTTGCAAACCTCTTAAATGAGGCAGCTATATTGGCTGGTCGACGTGCAAAGACGGCAATCTCACCAAAAGAGATTGATGATTCAATTGATAGGATTGTGGCTGGAATGGAAGGAACAACTATGACTGATGGGAAGAGCAAAAGTCTTGTGGCATATCATGAAGTCGGCCATGCCATTTGTGGGTAAGTAGAAAAATGTCAACATCTTTGTTATTAATGTTTGACGTTACCAATTCCAATTTTTTTATTAATATTAATACAAACTTTAGTTCTTATAAGAAGGTCACATTGCACATTATTCTACAATTTTGAGCTAGCCTTGAATATGAATTGGTAGTCTTTATCTTGGTAACATTTTCTACTCCCATTTTGTTTGGTTGTGCAATAATTAGTGTAAAAATTGTGATCTACATGGTTGTTAAAAGCCTCTATTTTCTATTCCATCTTGTTTAGGTGTGTAATAATTAGTAGACATGTTTCTTTACCCCTCATAACTTCTGGATCCAGAATTAGGGATCTAATGTTGAAAGAACTTCTCGGTCGTTTGATTATGGTGACGTAAATCTGTGACATTGTTAGCATACAATGGTTAATGAAGTATGTGGTACAGGCAATTTTTCTGCTTTTGTGAATAAGGAAATGCTGTAACCTTGATAAAAGCTTTGGACCCTACCAAAAATGAGAAAACATTCTTGTAGTTTTAGGCATAACAAATACATTTGTTTGAGTATATAAAATATGCAAGCTGAAAATTATGGATTTTATTTCTCATATTTTAAGAGTTAATGTGCCACATAGAAATATCAAACAAGTGTAAGACATGGGTGGAAATGGGGTGTATGTCAGCGCTGTTTGACAAGGCAATTGTCAACAGGGAGAGGCGCCTTGCATACTTTAATCTTATTTTGATTTCGTAATTAAAGATTTGATTTCCTGTCAGAGATTTTATTTTGTTCAAGCAAATATAGAACATGTGAAATGTGTTACTATGTCAATGTATGAAACGTGTCTAATGATATATGCAGCAGAGACATGTACACATTCACATCTATTTGTCTTCAATTTGTTATTCCACATGAAGAAATCTCACTTTTTCATATGTGGAACAGTAAGTTAACTTTAAACTAATCATTAATGGATGCAAGTTGAATTAGTTGGCTTTGGAATTGAGGATTTGTGCTCCATTTACTTATGATAGTGAGGATTGAGTTTATTTGAAGCAAGCTGCCTTTTCTATTTGTGGAGTAGTTTTTTTGTTGAATATTTCATGGATATCAGTGTACAGAATTTATTTTATACTGGATTTGGTAACCGCATGGTCTGTATATTGTGTTAAACCAATTTATAATAAAAATGGTAATTCAAATAATTTCACTAATGCTTTATTTTCTTTTTCATGCAGAACTCTGACTCCAGGGCATGATCCTGTTCAAAAGGTGACCCTTGTCCCACGTGGTCAGGCACGAGGTCTCACCTGGTTCATTCCTGCGGATGACCCGACCTTGATTTCTAAGCAGCAACTCTTTGCAAGAATTGTTGGTGGTCTTGGTGGTAGAGCAGCTGAGGAGGTGATATTTGGTGAGCCTGAGGTGACCACAGGTGCAGCCGGCGATTTGCAGCAGATCACTGGTTTGGCCAAGCAGGTAAATGATCCATACCAGATTTCTCTTTCAAGCGAGTTTTCTAATTTTTTTATGAACATCAATCTGATCCCAGCCATAACTGAAATGAATCCTCGTCAAATAATTGAGGAAACAAAAATTCAAACTCTGAATTATTTGCTGAGTTTGTAAAAGTATTACAACCTATTATGGTTATAGTTAACTTCGGTTTGTAAAAAAAATTTATGTGCCAAAAAGTTTTTTCTTCATCCTGGAGTTATCCAGAAATTTAAAATTCTTGCAGTGAAGAGCTCGTTCCTGTCCAATCAGTAGCCCTCATCTGTATTTTGCCCGATGTTCCTATTTTTTTTATTTATCAATCGGCTATAAAGACTCTTTTCCATTGATGAGTTCATTCGACATTTTTCATGAAATTTAGGGGGTTTAATTGATCTATTTGCAGATGGTAACCACATTCGGAATGTCTGAAATTGGCCCGTGGTCACTTATGGACTCAGCTCAGAGTGGTGACGTCATCATGAGAATGATGGCTAGGAATTCAATGTCAGAAAGGCTCGCTGAAGACATTGATACCGCTATCAAGAAGATTTCAGACTCCGCATATGTGATTGCATTGAGCCAGATACGGAGCAACCGTGAAGCAATTGACAAGATCGTGGAAGTTCTTCTTGAGAAGGAAACAATGACCGGAGATGAATTCCGGGCAATTCTCTCTGAATTCACTGAAATTCCAGCTGAAAATCGCGTGACTCCCTCTGTAGCTTCTCCAGTCGCTGTATGATAGCATAGTTATACAACACTTGTAATTTACACTGCTGATCAGTGTAAATGTAATACTCTGTAATGTTTCCCACATTTGTAAGCAGGAAAAATGACTCATTTGGATCAGAATGCGAATAGTTCCGTTTTTGAGCCTTGGTTCTCTTTGTAGACCTTGTTAACTAGTTGCCAATTCCTTCACAATTCTCACGACTCCAAAATGAAGTTTTGGTTTTCGGATACGTTATTTGTTAGTTTATTATTTTTCACAATTAGAGAAATGTTATTTTATTATTTTTTAGTATACTTTAAAAGTAAATAAATAATATTTTATTATTTTTCAATTATAATCTAATAGTAAATAAACTCTTGAAGGTTTTTTTAGTTGTTTTTGTGCCTCGTTCACATAATATGGTTGCTCATGTGTTAGCTGGGAGGGCTCTTTGATGTGAATATAGTTGTGTTTTTCTTACTACTAAACTTCATAGTCTCTTCGAGAGTTTGCTTGTACTGATGCATTATTCTCTGTTTGATATGAATACAAGTTCTTGCCTTTGATTTTTTTTTTTTAATTATACATGAATAGTAAATAAAATATTATTTTATTATTTATTAATTATACTCTATAGTAAATAAAAGAGTCATTTTTATTATTTTATTATTTTTCAATTATAGTTGAATAGTAAATAAAAAGTTATTTTATTATCTAGTTATACTTTAATAGTAAATAAAAGAGTCAATTTTATTAATTTTCAATTATAATTGAATAGTACATTTTTTATTATTATTATTATTTTTCAATTATACTTGAATAGTATGTAGAATATTATTTTATTATTTTTCAATTATACTCAAAATAGTAAATAAAAGAGTCAATTTTAACTAAAAAATAAATTTACCAAACATATATATATTTTTCTCTTTTTGAAAATTCAACAATTTAATTTGTTTTGGTTTAACAGAAATGACAGTACAACTTTTCGAAACTTATCTATTTACATAAATAAAATCACAACAAAAAAATAAAAACCACAATTTTACCAAAAGGGCCTAAATATATGATATAAACAAAAGGGCCTGAATATATTTTTGATAAATAAATGATATAAACAAATATATAAACAAATATTATAATATTATTATATATAAACAAATACATATGCAACTCTATAGTTTAATAATAATTTGTTTATCATTTTTTATAATTGATTTCATTTGAGTATATATATTGAAGAAATATCAAAATAGTAATTATTGTCATACATAAAACAAATAATATATAAATGCTTCCGTAATTTTTTTTCCCTTGATCTTTCTGTTAGTATTCGTAGTACACCCATGCAATATATTTTTGTCGTTTATGCAGAATTTATGACAAAATTATTTAAAGTTGGTTGTATTAATGAAAAAATTATTTAAAGTTGGTTGTATTAATTTAATTTTTTTGTTCTTCATTTTCCTAACTATACCATATACAACCTAAATTTTGTTACAGATATTAAAGTAATCCTTCCTAGGTTTTTTTTTAAAAAATCCTTCCTATAAATAATAAAATTTTATTTATTTTTAAAAAGTCAGATTATCAAATACCAGATTTTTCCAAATGGCCGTATTGCTTCGTCTTAGGCATTACATTGCTCACAAAGCCAACCTAAATGTATGGGTAAGTCTTGTCTTAGGCCTCTCGGCTTCATTGCTCTGCACACTCCAACCTCTCGCTTTTTCTCCACAAGCACCTGTAAAGTTCCTTCTAAACCTGTAGGCGAATTCCTCAAACTCTGCAACAAAGGCAGCCTAAAAGAAGCATTCGAGGCCTTCAAATCAGAAATATGGTCAGACCCAACTCTGTTCTCTCACCTCTTCAAAGGATGCATACAGACCCATTCACTCTCAGTCGCCAGACAACTCCATTCTTTGGTAATCACATCTGGGTGTTCCTCAGACAAGTTCATATGCAACCACCTCCTCAACGTCTATGCGAAATTCGGAGAATTGAGAACTGCTGTTGCGCTGTTCGGGGTAATGCCCAGGAAGAACATCATGTCTTGCAACATTCTGATTGGTGGGTATGTGCAAAATGGTGACTTAGAGAGTGCACGGAAGGTGTTTGATGAAATGGGTGAAAGAAATGTCGCGACATGGAATGTGATGGTTACGGGTCTAACACAGTTTGAATTTAATGAGGAGGGATTGGGTTTGTTTTCTAAAATGCATGAGTTGGGGTTTTTGCCTGATGATTTCACTCTCGGTAGTGTTCTGCGGGGTTGTGCTGGTTTGAAAGATTCACAGGCAGGAAGGCAGGTTCATGGTTATATCATAAAATCTGGGTTTGAGTTCAATTTGGTTGTGGGGAGTTCATTGGCTCATATGTATATGAAGTCTGGAAGTTTGGGACTAGGAGAGAGAGTGATCAAAGCGATGCCAATTCAGAATGTGGTTGCTTGTAATACTCTTATTGCAGGCAGGGCTCAAAATGGGTGTTCTGAGGGAGCTTTAGAACAATATAATATAATGAAAATGGCGGGTTTTAGACCTGATAAAATTACATTTGTCAGCGTAATGAGTTCATGTTCAGAGTTAGCAACACTTGGACAAGGCCAACAAATTCATACAGAGGCAATAAAAAGTGGGGTGAGTTCTGTAGTTGCTGTGGTTAGTTCATTGATTAGCATGTATTCAAGATGTGGCTGTTTGGATGACTCTGTAAAAGCATTCTCGGAAAGAGAAGAAGCTGACGTTGTCTGCTGGAGCTCGATGATTGCTGCTTATGGGTTTCATGGGAGAGGAGAGGAAGCCATCAATTTGTTTAATCAGATGGAACAGGAAGGACTGGAAGCAAATGATGTTACATTCTTAAGCTTGCTCTATGTTTGTAGCCATTGTGGATTGAAGAATAAGGGGATTGAATTATTTACTTTGATGGTACAACAGTATGGATTGGAGCCTCGGCTTGAACACTACACATGCATGGTTGATCTCCTTGGGCGGTCTGGCTGTTTGAAAGAAGCAGAAGATTTGATAACAACTATGGCCATAAAGGCAGATGCTGTTATCTGGAAGACTTTGTTATCTGCCTGTAAAATACACAAAAATGCAGATATGGCAAAGAGGATTGCCGATGAAGTTCTTAGGATTGACCCCTTGGATTCAGCTTCTTATGTTCTCCTTTCAAATGTTCAGGCTTCTGCTAAAAGATGGCGGGATGTTTCAGTTGTGAGGAAAGCAATGAGAGATGGGGGGGTGAAGAAGGAACCTGGTATAAGCTGGTTGGAGATACGAAACCAGGTTCACCAGTTTTCTATGGGTGACAAATCCCATCCGCAATTGATGGAAATTGATAGGTATTTGAAAGAACTGACAGATGAAATGAAATTACGGGGTTATGTGCCTGATACTGGCTCTGTTTTGCATGACATGGATGTTGAGGAAAAAGAATATAACTTGGCACAACACAGTGAAAAGTTGGCAATTGCTTTTGCTCTAATGAACACTCCAGAAGGTGTTCCAATTAGGGTGATGAAGAATTTGCGGGTCTGCTGTGATTGCCATGTTGCTATCAAGTACATATCTGAGATAAAACACCGAGAAATTATTGTACGAGATGCTAGTAGGTTTCATCATTTCAAAAATGGGATATGTTCTTGTGGAGATTACTGGTAAGGCAGGTTACAGTATTATTGTCCATGGTGTATTTTTTTTTTCCCTAAGAACAAGATGATTTCTTTTTAAATTATTTCTATAACAGAAGCTGCACCATTTTTTTCTTATTGGAAAGAGATGATTTTGTGTCATACTTACAATAGTTATTGAGGACTTTTGAATTATAATGCTATGGTTATTCTATATATAAATATACATAGCTAATACTTTTTCTTGACTCATAATAATGATTCAACGTCTCAGAAGGACTAGCTTGCAATTTAGTTGCATTTATTTTTCAGTTATTCAAGTTGAGAAAGTGTAATATTTTCACGACTATTTGATTCCTAATATGCTGAATGAAGATCTTTTTATTGCAATTTATTGCAATACAAGGTAAAGAACACATGTTTTGGAGAAATAACTAGGAACATAAATTTTTAGTCATGAACTCATTTTTGAAATTAAATTATTGATACATGGATGCATTGATAGTGGATATTACATGAAAATAGGGGGTGGCAATAATTTAGGTCATAGTAGAGATGAGAGTCATCTTGCATGTTTAAACCTGATGTGAAATAAGATTCCAGACATCTAGACCTGAATTTTCTAGGTGCAGATTGTATCAACTAAGAACTCAGCACACACACACACACACACGCACACGCACACACACACACATATAGATATACATAGAAGAGGGATAGAACAAGTTGGCTAGTTGTTAAAGGAAATAGAAGCTCTCTGCAACTTCTTATCTGATCTACCTTACCAAGAGATGTAGTTCTTGATAAGAACTATTTGTAGGTCCTCATTCATCATCTGATAGCCACCTGAATGGCATCTCCATTTGTATGTAATTCACATGCAGCAATTCCAAAAAAAGTCTGTGACTTCAACCCTCTACTATACGTCGCTATAAACAATACCTTTATTTAGCTTCTGTACTCTCTAACTACAAATTCTCTAGCTTTAGTTGCATAAAAGTGTGGTTGACAACTGCTTTTAATTAGAATGTAGGAACTAGCATGTTATTGTTTGTGTCATCTCTTCTTGTCTTAATTGTTTCTAATATTTAATAAAAATCATTAAAACTTTAAATTATTCTTATCATGCTTTTATTTATCATCATTATTTTTTCATTTTTAATTCTGTAATGATGATATAGAAACGTTACAAGTTGTAAGTCCATAAAAAGGGCATTATATTATACATGGTGCGTGTGTGTTAAACCTATGTCTCTCTCTGTCTCCCTTTACCTCGCTTCCTCTCATTTTTTATTGTAATCCTATTACACATTATTTTATCTTACATATTGTGTTTGGAGTAACTTTGACATAAGATTGGTACACCCCAAAGAAAGAAGATCACTGGCGGATATGGGTTATATCTTGGAGCCGTACTAGTCTGTTGATACCTGCATGTAGAAAGGGTATACGACCTTAGAACAGTGACTAGCATGCCTCTTATTATCCAGGTCAGTTCTTTCCAATTTATTTTATAATTGTCATTTTCTTCTTTATTATATTATGTTTAGTTATTTTTACTATCATTCTCATTCGTGAATTCCATCCTGTAATTGTATTATAGTTAAATGTTCAATTAAATTGTTTATATCATTTTATTACTGAAAGTACTAAATTCTTTATTAGTGCTATCTTGTGAATTCATATTGTAAGATTTGTGTTTTGAATATTTTTTATGTTTTCTATCATGTATGAATAAAATATATAAAATTTTCCAAACATTAACAAAAATCAGTCCTAAAAGTGCCATGCTGTTTGATTCTAATGTACTCTTGCTTTTCAAATCAACTTTGCCTCTGACAAAATAAATCTTGCACTTCTCATCCAACTATAGGGTCTGAAGAAGTTTTAAGATTGCACATCCCATTGCCATTGAAATCAGGTACTTACTTCAAGCTTGGAATTTTTTTAGGATCCATCTTCGTCTAGAATGGTAAATTGAAATTTAGCTTAGTTAATGAAGGAAACAGAAAAAGATTTAGCTTAGGTAGTAAATTATTGTTACTTAATAACTAAAGTGAATTGCAAAATGAATTCCTGAACTATTTGAATTGCATTAAACTAATTTCTTATAAATAACACCATGATCTACTGAAAAGTTGCAATCAACCACAAGACATCATAATGATCTCCATTAGTGTCAAAACCCATTTTCAAAAGATAAACTGAGAGAAGTATTTTCTTCATCTTGAGTGTCTTGAACTAATACATCCACTAGGCCATTAGAAGCAGCAGCAAAAATCTTGCCATGGAAATGAGATCCAATTAATGTATATGGCTAGAAGTATGGACCTGCATGATACGAACAACAACACACGGATAATACCTGTACAAGAACTAGACATCGGCATTAGGGATGGCAATGGGGCGGTTTGGGTTGGGGATCTCATTCTCCATCCCTGTCCCCGTTTAATTTTGGTATACCCGTAACCGCCCCATAACCGGGTAAAATATCACCCTCCACCCCTATAACCGCCCCCGCCCTGCCCTCATCTAGCCCCGCCCCCACCCCCACCCCCGCCCCCGCCCCCGCCCCATAACCGATTAAATTCCATCTCCCATTCCGAATTCAGCATTGAAATAAATAGTTCACAAACAAATCCAGAAGCTTGGATTCAAATCATGCCACGAAAACAATATTGAACTAACATAGAAAGTTAGAAACAAGAGTTTACAATATATACATGCATATAAGTGTCTACATATATACATATACAAAGATGAAGTTGAAAGAGAAGTGAATCAAACCTTAAAGATAAATTGACCTTTCAAAAAAAAAAAAAAAAAAAAAAATACATATATGTGAAGTCTGAACCACCGATCGATTTTCTTCAGCAAACCACCGATCATTGGACCAGGTCGAGGAGCATGGTAGATCTCTCGACAACAACAAGGACCAGGTCGAGGAGCGCGGTAGCTGTCAGGTAGAGTTTCCCGACAACTAAATGCAATATCCTCTGACTTCCTGAAATTTATAATTTATAAAATTGTGTATGCACAATCATCCTTATCATGTGGAGAAAGTCATGCCAATATATGTATACAAATTATTGACATCTCTTATCATCTCAAGATCACTTTTTATTTTTATTTTTTATAAGTATTGTATTAAAAGCCATCAAAAGGGGAACATGTCCCTCAAAAGCTACACAAGACCAAATAGGGCCTTTAGACCCTCAAGGAGTCCAAAAAATCAACAAGTTCCTTCAAGAATTTACAATTTTTCCCTAGAACCCAACAAAAAAGGGTAATTAGAATAGAGAATTTCAACGACCCAATAGGATTCTCCTTTCCTTCAAATGATCTCCTATTTCTTTGAAGCCAAAGACATCACCAAACACACAAAAGCATAACCCTCCAAAGTCACGAGCTTGGGCCCCCACTATACAACCTCTCCGATCAACCAAGCCTCTGGAAGACCTGGGCATAACCCACTGAACCCCAAACAAACCCAGCAACAAAGTCCAGCAATCTCGAGCCACTGAACAATGCAACAGGAGATTATCAACCGTTTCCTCGTCATTCTTACACATGCAGCACCGATAGACCACAATCTGTCTTCTCCTTCTAAGGTTATCTTGAGTCAAGATCTTCCCCAAAATGGATATCCAAGCAAAAAATGCCACTTTGAGAGGGGCCTTCGAGCGCCAAATAGCCCTCCAAGGGAAGGGCGGCCCTAGGACAATGAATGACTCCCTATAGAATGACCTGTTATTGAACCGACCTTGTGAGGAGGGAGTCCACACCCAAAAATCCGAAATGTCTTCCAATCTCTTGACTGTAAAGCAACTCCAAAAAAACAATAGCATCCTTAATCTCCCAATCCTGAAAATGTCTAGAAAAGCGCACATTCCAACCAAACTACCGCTATCGAGATGATAGCAGTCGTCCACCAAGGCATGTATATATCTGTAGTAATCTGGAAAAGTCTAGGAAAAGTGAGGGCAAGAGAACGATCACCACACTAGACATCCTCCCAACGGTGTATTTTCCTTCCTCTCTAACTCGAAATCTAATATGTTTGGAGAATTCATCCTACCCCTTCTGAATATCTGTAGTAATCTGGAAAAGTCTAGGAAAAGTGAGGGCAAGAGAACGATTACCACACTAGACATCCTCCCAACGGTGTATTTTCCTTCCATCTCTAACTTGAAATCTAATATGTTTGGAGAATTCATCCTACCCCTTCTGAATGAATTTCCCACCCTTCTCGTGATCACTTTTCAAATAAAATTTTTCTAACATTTTTTATTTTTGAAAATGGTCAATCTATTTTTAGCAAAATTCTGGATAAACCTTTTAGTTGATTTTCTGTTATTTCCATGTTAAATTAATTCAAATCCAATCAATCACCTGTTATTTCTTTATTTTTAAAATTATAAACACATCTAAAATGTGTCCCAAGAATGCTCATGCCCAATAAGTTTTGGGAAAAGCTTCTTTTTAGAAGTTTCCATACTTCTTAGAAGTTTGATTGTGCTTGAACTGAAAATATCTTAGTTTTGTATTTACTGAAAAATATTTATATCTTAGGTTTGCATTGTGTGATGTGATTTTGAAGCTTGTTTGTGCGTGTGGGTGGGGCGAAGAGAGCACGCACGAGAGAGGGTTTATGAGGGAACTCTGGAGTTCCTATTGTTGGTGTGCACTTATGTGAGATAGATTTCTTTCTCTCTCTCTTTATTTATTTATTTGTTTTTTTTTTATTTTTTTATTTTATGTTTTTTGTATGGAATTAGAATTTTGGTTTAATCATGCTGTAGTTCTCCAATTGTCTTGTAAATGTATTTGAAAGCCTTAATTTTCCCCACGCACACCAAAAAAAAAAAGAAAAAAAGGAGAGACATGATTGTGTACTTACTAAGTGTACCACAAAAGTGAGGAGATCAAACTCAACAAACCAAAGAGTTGAGGATGTAAGCTTGAGTGATGCAACAGACTCGGAGAGAAGTAGATCAAACTCTTAAAGGGTAGGGGGAGAGGCCAAATGACAATGAGAATTGCTCTAGTGCTTGCTTGTGGACAACCACCGCACCACAAGAGATTGAGGAATGGAGGTCATATGCATAGATATGTTAGGAATGGATTATGAATGAGAGATCATCCTTGGTTATGACAAAGAAACAGGAGTTCCCTTGCCAAAGCCCCTTGACTCTTAAAAAAATAAAGGTAACTTCAGAGCTGTCCATTGATGAAGACATAGGAGTAGGGAGAGGAAGATATTTGTTTGTTGAATGTTCCAAATATGACAGTAGATAGAGAATTTTCACTTCTTGATAGATTGTTACATTTTAAGGAATTCTCGAATAAAGAAATATTAATGTCTTAGTTTCTTATTCCTTCCTGAAGATTTGGAAAAATCCCATTGAGCTCTTGCTTTAAATTGCCCAAAAAACTTCATCAACATTTAACGATACCTTTTAAGCTTTTGGTTGACAGTGGGGGCGATTGTCCAAAAAACTCATTGATTGGACTGGGAATCACTGTGTAAAGAAGAAAAATGGAGGCCAGGGATTCCGCCAGCTGGATGCTTATAATTGTGCTCTCTTGATGAAGCATGGGTGGAATTTCTAAGTAGAGAAAAGGGGACTGGCCTTCCAATTAATGAAAGCTAAATATTTTTCTTCTCGGTCTTTCTTGCAGGCCAAGTTGGGTTCTAACCCATCTTGGGTGTGGCGGAGTATTTGGTCCACTCAATTGATTATTGAGAAGGGCTCAAGGTGGATTGTTGGAAATGGGCAGAATATCAACATATAGATGGATCAGTGGGTTCCGGGGCATGTTTATAAATTGAGCCCCAGGTCAGCACCTTCTGAGTGCCAAATGGTGCAGGAACTTTATTGATGAGTCTAGTCATTGTTGGAAGATGGATCTGATTAAGCAATTGTTTCCTCCTCCAGAGGCGGATGCGATCCTTCGGGGCCCGCTGGGTTTTTCAAGAGACAGGCTCAATGGTATTGGGTCCAAGTTTTAGTGGTATGTTCACGGTCAAATCTACATATCACATAGCCCATTCCTTTCAGCAAGATACTCATTGAAAAATAGCCAGTAGGGTTCGTAGCTCGTTTAGTGGTGATCAGAATCTTTGTCTGAGCATATGGCCGTGTCTGTTTAAGCCTTGCATGTGAAAAAGGCCTTGAAGATCCAAGGGATTTTCGAAGATGCTGTGTGCCTTCGCTGCGACTTACATAAAAAGACTGTTGAACACCTTTTATTCCAGTGCCCCCATTCTCTTGCTTTCTGGAAACTCTTACCGCTTCGTCTTTATTGTACACTATTGTATGAGTTGTCACATGTGTACAATTAGTATTGTATGAGTTGTTACCTACCCCTCATTACCATATATAGAATTACCATGTATAGGGTTTACTTGTTCTCCACTCACCTACCTCCGTAACTTCTCCTTTATAAACACCATTGTATTATTATATTACTCACTCAAAAAGATATACGTTTTCATATATTCTCTTTCTCTCTCTCTCTCTTTCAATATGGTATCAGAGCGGAAATCAATCCCTCTTTAAATTTTTTTTAGTCTTATTCAGACTCCGATCTTGATCCATCTCGGCTTTCTCTCAGCAATCTCTTCTCAACGATCTCTCCTTGGTGATCTCAGTTCTCGTTTCAGCAATCTCTCTCGGATCCCTCCTCGGCTTTCTCTCAGCAATCTCTTCTCGGCGATCTCAGTTCTTGTCTCGACAATCTCTCTCGGATCCTTCCTCGGCTCTCTCTTCGATAATTTCTCTTGGATTCATCTCGGCTAGATCTTGGTTCTCTTATCTCGGCTCCCTCTCGCTACTATATCTCATTTGTTCGGCAACTCTTGTGATCGATACTAAGGAATTCCATCTACTTGGGTCAATCACCAACACCAAACTGAAATGCTCAAACTACCTTCAATGGTCTCGAGCCGTAGAGGTGTTCTTACGGGCTTAAGGAACACTATTACTCCCTCCGTCCCATTGGGATATATCTCAAATCAACCAAACCCACCATTGATGAAAAGATTATTGAGGCTTGGGAGAAAGAAGATGCTCAGATTATGACTTGGTTATGGAACAGCTTGGAGCCTGAGATCTTCAACAACGTGTCATTCCTAGAATCTGCCAAAGATATCTGGGAAAATCTCAGAACATGTATTCTTCAAAGAAGAATATTTCTCGTATTTATCAGTTGTACCAGGATATTTTTAATCTTCAGCAGGGAGATTGTTTTGTTGAAGATTATTACTCAGAATTGAAGGGCATGTGGGAAGAATTGAATGTCTACCAACCATTGACTACAAACATAGAACAACAAAAACGGCATAGGGAGGAGTTTCGGGTGGCAAAATTTTTATCTGGACTTAAACCCGAACTAGCTCTGATCAGTTCGCAGGTTTTGTCTAGCAAGGAGATACCCACAACAAGTTGAGACTTTTGCTCGAATTCGAAGAGCATCTATTTATGCCCCTGTGATTGAGAAGGATAACCACTCTGCTTTTGTTGTTTCTATTGAGCGACATGATACTTTCCGTATAAGACGAGGGGGCGGGAAGAGGTCCTTCCAACCCAGGCCGTGGTACTCGTGGCGGCAGAGGGGGTCGCGACAACAAGAAGTGTACTCATTGTGGCCGAAATAATCACTATGTTGACTTCTGCTGGGCTCTTCATGGCAAGCCAGCTTGGGCTAATCAAGCTTCAGTTTCGGAGGAGACTACTCCCACTTTTGTGAATGAACAAGTCGTTCTCTCCAAAGCCTAATATGATTCTCTAGTAAAGTGTGAGCGTGCAAATCAGCCCTCCTCCACCGCTACTATCGTTACTAGTGTGTCTCGTACCAGTTGCACTAAAAGTGTGTAGTGTAGCCAAGTTTGAATATATAGAATGCCACTACTATCACTAACTACTAATATAGCTAGAGTGAGTAGGGATCGTCCCAAAGGAAAGGAGGTGTATTTTTGCTTGGAAATCAATGTCGGATTAGTAGGTCGAATGATCAAAGATGGTTTGGTGGTTGACTTAGACTACAATTTAAACTAAATGAATGCAATGTAAGGCAATTAATGTAAAGTGAGGTGTAGAGAGTATAAGGGAGGAATCTTGGGTTATAGAGTTCACCACTAAACATTACCTTCTTAGACTTTCAACATTTGATGGATTAAGGAGGATATGTGTTGTGATACCCCTCGACTCCGAGACATGGGTTGATCAGGCCCAAGCTCAAACCCGAGGGAATATCTAACAATTAATATATAAACAAGCAGGAAAACAAAATGAATTAAAGAATAAATAACAAAGCTAAAGGAATTACTAATATAAAATCCTCAAAATGATAATGAATAATAATAATACAATTCTCCAAAATCTCTAAGAGTACAACTCGGGAATCCATCTAGTGGACCCCTAAACAAAATCTCAACTGAACTGAATAACTGAAAATAAAATCCCAAACTAAAACATAGAGATAAGTCCTACGTAAACAGATGAATGAGTGACTGCCTCCAATAAGCACGATCAAGCTCTAAGGCTAGAACCGTCCGGTACCTGAAAAAAATATAAGAGTGGGTCAAGCCCACGAACAAGTTCTATTCTAACTATAATCCATACAGTGACCCGATACGCAGATACATCCTAGATATCTCACAATATTTATCCAGTCCAAAATATATATATATATATCCACATTAAAGGACATTCACTGGACTACAAAGGGGGTCTCAACCTGAATAGAAGGCAACATGCAAAAATGCACCCAAAGGTGGGTATGAATACCTAGACCTAACATGGTACACCTCAACCTATCATAGCCAGCTACGCATCCACTGCATATACGCGCCCTAACCATCGACTCTGAGACTCAAGCTCATATTATGGTACCATAATCATATATTTAAAGTTCGTCCAAAATCAGAGTATGTTATTCAATTCTTTGTTGATCTGACATAAGATTTATAATCCCGATAGTCACTTAACTTATTCAGTTGATCTGACTTAACTACAAACAACAATTAATCCATGTGGTCACTCAACTTACTCAGTTGATTTGACCTAAATATAAGTAGGATCCAATTTTTACAATCCATTCCCTTATTCCAATAGGGTAGATCTTAGCGTTTTGAGCTAAACCATCCCTAGTATGCCACCATCCCATACCGGTGCATACAATCGACAACATCCAAATAATTGATAGAATTTAATATAACAATTCAGCAAATATAATCCAACACATAAATCCAGATAATTAACAGAATATAAGTTAATAATTCCTCAATTAAAATCCAGGTTAACTTCCATGTAACTAACAGAATATATGTTATTAATTCATCAATTAAATTCAAGAGAAGTATAACAAAATCTAATACGTATAAGACCCTATTATGCATCCAGAACAACTTAAAAAAACATACTCCAGTCATCTAGGTTGCTAAAATAAATGTAAGCAACTAAATACTTTATATCCGTTAACAGCGTGCAAAGTTGCTTATTTTTATGCTGTTCATTCTATAACGACCCTGGATTTCTAAACCCAGTGTCTCTGTGATGACCCGAACTGGATCCAGAATGCGGAAGCAAAAGATGAAACAGTGGTCTCAAGAGACACAATACGTCCCTAAGACACAAATGTGATCCTCAATGAGGTCACGGAACCCAAGGAAGACAAATGTGGAAGCGACGTTTCAAAAAGGGACAAGAATGAACCTAGGGGTAAAATGGTAATTTCCAACCTGAAAGTGGGTTCTACCGACCATACCATTGGAAAGACAACGAAAAATCAAGCAAGATGGACTCAAGAATCGCATGATTCGGAGTCCGGACAAAGAAGATATGACTCACGGAAGAAACAGGGGTAAAATGGTCAATATAGTCAACCCTAGAACATCTAACCGGTTAGGAGACCTATCTAACTAGTTAGAAGACCCTAAAACACGACCAAAACACTGCCCAAGCACATCTAACCGGTTACGAAACCCCATTTAACCGTTTAGATGTAAAGGAGGCAGAATAGGCAGCAAGAAACCCTAGCAGCAGGGGTTTTTTCGGGAAAAAATGAAAATTTGAGAGCCTAGATGACATTTTCTGGAAAAACATAAAGAAGAAACCCCCCTCAAAATTGAGTTTTCTACGTGACTTACGAGAGAAATCGAAAAATACTCACTGTGAAATGCCCAAAATGCCCTCCCAAGAAATCTGGTACAGAGGGTCGAAAAAACTGCTAAATAGAAAAACAGAAGCTGAACTTCGGAAATGGTTTCCGATGCCAAGACGACATTTTTAGGAAAAACACGAAGAAGAAACCCCCCCTAAAATCACATTTTCTAAGTGACCATGTGAAGAACGGAATTTATTTTATAAAGGAAATTTCCAAAATACCCTTAGGTCAGATTATGCAACAAAAGTGTAAAATGAGTCCTTAGGAGGCTCATTTCATCAAAGAAGAAGCTTTGCCCGGAAACGACTATGCACGCAAACGTAACTTACCAAATAAGATGTGCTACAATGGTCCATGGCTCAAAAATATGGCCGATACAAAATATGACCCCCCAATGGCCAAAAAGGCAAAAGTGGACTTGAAATGGAAAACGTGAAATCCAAAAATATA